CTGAAAGACTATGATTAAATCAACTTGTTAATGTTGCTCATGACTGACGCCAATGATCTCTTTAAATCTCAGAGTTATCTTTCTTTGAAAAAGTTGATCCACAAATCCACCACATATATAAGCTGAAACGCTGGTTTCATCCCATCCCGACTTTATTGGATCACTTCATCTCATCTCAGATTAAACACATAAGAGGTTGAAAAATGTTAAGAGCATATATTCTTTCCATGACCCCCCCCAAAAACAATAAACAATTATGTTGAAGACTTTTGACTGAATTAATTTTTTATTGAGGCTTTTATTAGGGATAAAAAATTAAAATTTTCTATACCCAATGCTATTTTCTTTATTTTTTTAAACTCCAGTTCACAGTTCACCATCATGAATGCCAGATTTTGTGGTATTTGAAGCAAAATTTAGTGTAGGTCTTCTTATGAGAGATGATTGAGTGACATGTTATTTTTTGGGAGTTATGACATATTTCTCTTATGTATAGGTTCGGAAGGACCGATAACAACCTAATTCATTGTTGTACCATAATATTGATGGATTTACTTCCAATTAGATATAATATTGCTCAAAACTAACTCGATAATATTAGATATGACATAGCTGTATATATTTATATAAATCATGAATAATATTTCATCTAGAGGTGCTATAACAAATTGTGTTATCTCTTGTTCTTAATATAACAACTAGATAACTAATTTGAAAATATTAAGAAAATTAATTAAATTGATTAATTGTAACAAATGTGTGTTGACCACTCTAAACTATCCTATTTAATTATGCGTATTAAAACTATTCTTTGATGATAACCTTTTATAATTAGGGATATTTTAGAGAAAACAATTATAAATTTAAAAGATAAAGTAGATTGTGGTTTTATATTTATGACCAAATTTAATATCCAACTAAATGATTTATAATATAAACATCACACATTGATCTCACCATGCTTTGTTTTAAAGCAAGTGAAACAGAACTTTCTTTGTTGTTTGAAGGAAAAAAAAACCTTTATAATCAATAGAGATATTTAAAAAAAATTATAAATTGGATTGAGATTTTATATTTAAAACCAAATTTAATCTCTAACTTAATAATTTATAATATAAACATTACACATTGATCTCACCATGCTCTGTTTTAACGCAAGTGAAACAGAGCTTTCTTTGTTGCTTGAACAAGAAGAAGAATTCAATAACTTAATATTCAAAATTAAACAATTAACATACATGTATCGGCTGTAGTTATTAGTTAAGTGATCCTAAAATAATTTAAGATATTTGCCTTATTCCGAAAATTGGGGGAAAACAAGTTCAATCATTCATGCCTAAAATATTTTTCAATATGATATGGAAATTGAGTTAAAATCGAGAATTTAAACACTTCTTAGTATAAAAAAAAAAAAGGGAAAAAAAGTAAAGGTCTGCCGGCTTATCACGCACAAGGGAGTCAGCTTTATACCACTCACGTCGTTAAACAATACTGGGGTCCATTTTTTTTAGCTTTTGGTAATTAAGATTATGAATATCTTCCATTGAAAATAAAAACTACTCCTATGATACTATTTATAAGCATTTATTAATAAATTTAAATAAACTGAGAAAGTTAACTGAAAATATTTATTTCTTGAAAAATATTAAAAGTGTCCTGAATAAAGTCATCAATTGGAATAGTTTGTTTAATTAACGTGAAAATTTTATAATTAATTGGGGATGTTATGCGTAAAAAAAACTGACGGTCCAAACAAAACATGTTATATTATGAACCTTTTCATGCATGGAAACTTGGAAAGAGAGAAATTTTAGAGTTATAAATGTAGTCCAACTTGACCTCTTAATCTCAGGAGAACATTCATACCACTAAATTATATGATTGGCATAAGCTATTTTCCCCCCCCAGTATAGATTTTGTAATAATTGTCTAGGAACACTTTCCCTCCCCATTCGTGTGTGTAAGTATTCTGGTTTTATGGAATGAATTGAAATTTTCACAAAAAAAAAAAGTAAGAAAATTATTTTCACCAAAAATAATGGTCTTATGGGTGTAATATATAGAATTAAAGATATCATCCTCACATGACGTTAAGGTCACCATAATGTCCTTTTTGTGTTTGATGATTCGGCTCAATTATAAATTGGTATATGAACTAAAGTTATATATAAGTATTTTAAAGAGATAATATAACATATGCTATAATTAATTAATTTAGTAATTTCATTAATCTTTCCAAATTAGTTAACAGGATATTAAATATTATAACGGAGGTAGTATTCTTTTGGCCTGACTAGAGTCCCATTGTTGCACCAAATCTCAAATATGAGTGATGTTATTCATAATGCTTATAACTATTGTGGCCTTTTTCACAGCCTCTATAGACGCCTGATTAATAAATGGTTTAATGTTATTATCTTTTCCTTCCTTCCTCTGTTCTCTTGTTATTAATTTTCCGAACATTGCTTGATGATAGCAGAGGACACGACACATTGATTTCACCATACCCTGTTCTAAAGCAAGTATAACAGAGCTTTCTTCGTTGTTTTAATTACAATAATTGAATGAATAACTTAATAATATTCAAAATTGAACAATAAACATGTATCAGTTGGAGTGAAGTGATCCACCACGCCTGTAGGTTACCCTCTCTCAAATGTTAAAAGTACCTCATCAGTTCATAGGAACTAATCTCAATGCTTATGATCTAAATTTAAAATTTTCAATTAATAATTTTTAAATAATTTTTTCTCAGAAACGTACTATTAAAAGATTACATTTATCTTGGATTATCTACCTATTAAAGCAAAACATTTTTAAAAACAAAGATATAAAAAATTAAATCTCAACCGTTCATATTAAATTTAAACGGTTGAGATTGATAAGTATTATGTTGTTCATTACTGCAAAGAGTATCGAAGCTAACAGGCAGAGGCGCTACTACTAAACGTATTGTGAGTGTGTGCTTTTTTTTTTTCACCAGCAATTTTTGCATGTTCATAGAACCAGTATGGAATATGAAAAACATTAAAAAAATCCATAACCTGTCATCATGGAAAAGAAGTGCAAGCACATTCTTGTTCAAAATAAGTCAATAAATAATCCCTGTTTTTTTTAAAAAAAATTTTAACTGACGTAAAATATATATTTTTGTTAGGAGTGACATGACCTTAATTTCATTCATTATCTCCATTATTCCTTAACTTCCTCTCAATCCCACCAGCTCATTTACGCTGACACATTATCTTTAGGCCTTGTATGCATGGCTTCAATTTTATCTAACAATAGTAAATAGTTGTTATGCACTTATAATTTTAAAATGATTAGTTTTAAATCCTGCAATTATTTTCCCAAAAAAATGTAGTGAAATTCTTTAATGATGATATTTATATCTTTTGGTTGATGTTGGAAACTTATTTCTTTCATTTTTTGGGATGAACCTATAACTATAAGCCTCCATGTAACCTTTTTCATTTTCATTTATATTTAGTTTTAGAATTATTCTCTTCTTCGGGTACTTCGTTGGATTTCTTGCGTTTACTTTTGAAATTTCTGAGTAGCTAAAACAGGATACGTTTCTTCCATTTCTTGTTCCTTCTTTCTTTCTCTTCTGTGCTTTTACCCTGCAGCTTCATCTTCTCTAAACTGCCCAATGGCATAGCCAAATTATTCAGATTTTATTTCATGCTTGTTCAAATTTATTCTGTTTTACAATCTATCGATGTTAGCCTGATGCAAATAACACCTTTCTCTATTTGAATTCCCAATGTCACGAACGGTCCAAAATTTTTCCTCACTTATACGATGCCTCTTTAATTCCAATGAAGAACACTGCCATTCGATCTGGTCGACCAAAGTTAATTCCTTTTCATGCAGATTATAATGCCCTCTTTCTACTAATTTTTGTCTGTGTCTTGTGCGGATGGTCTTTTCTATACTCTTTTGTATATGCCTTTGTAAAGAATGAGTTTTCAAGAAACCTCCCAATCAGTTTCGAACATTACACATTGATCATACCATGCTCTGTTTTAAAGCAAGTAAAACAGAGCTTTCTTTTTCGTTTGGATGATGATGATGATAATAACAATTATAATAATAATTTCCTTTGCCTGAGAACTGGGGGGAAAATAAATTAAGACAATAAAAGGAATTGTCATTTTTGGCATCTCAGAAGTAACATCCGTAAAAACAGTCATAGCTTTATGGTTGTGGAGTCTTGAGAGATCTGATACTAAACATAGAAGAAATATCAATATCCAGTTAAAGATAGTTCGATTCGTGCGAGACCAAAGCAAGCAGGGAGATCAAAGCTCAGCTCATCATGTAGATTTCGTTTTGTTGAAAGATCCTCATTATTGTGTAGAATCCATCTTCCTATATGTTATAAATCTTTTCCTCTCTATTTGCGTGTATGCAGTTGTTCTGATTTGATGGAATGAATTAACATTCTACCCACAAAGAAAAGAGAAATTATGATTCTTATTGTTAATATTACTATTATTAAAAACAAAGATTTATTAAAAGAGAAATTCTGAAGATGACGCTAAGGTCTCAATCGCATATGGAAGGGAATTTGCCTTACTTATACCATGCGGATTTCGATATCCAACAAGAACAGGGAAAATGCATTGACTCAGAATCAAAGAGTAAGATGATAAAGACTTGTGGATATATGATGCTGGAAATACTCTGCAGAGGACACCACACATTGATTTCACCGTGCTCTGTTTTTAAAGCAATACAGATCGTTCTTCTGCGTTTGAATAATAATGATAATTCAATAACTTCATATTCAAAATTACTGTGCCAAAACAAACCAGTACAGGAAGGATATTATGAACTGCCATGCAGTTCCGCCCACTCCGACTTTAAAATTTCAATATTTTTTATAAACATTGTTTCGAGATGGAGAGTATTCTCGTCATAACAAGTACACCAAATGCACAATGGTTTATTTTTAATCACCGAAAAAAACATGAAGCATGAAAATGAAATCCAAGCTAAAATCCAAAATGTTTATTTTTAGAAGCAATCATTTCCCAACATTGGTTTTGCCTTGCTAGAATGTCTTGGCGAGCCTTCAAAAGTTTAGTATGATTTGCCATCACATTTGCATGCTCTTGCAATGCAGCATCCAAGTCCTTTTGAGCCAATTCCACCACTCGTGCTGCCTCAACTTCTTGATCTCGAGTAGCCGCAAGCAATGCCTCGTTGGTTTTGAGATCACTATCCAAACCCTTTAGAATTTCTTGAATGCCATCAACTTCAGTTACATCAGTATTAAAAACCTTAGTCTTAATAGATTCAAGCCAGTCCTTGTCAAAACCAACAAAACAAGCATCCTTTAATTTCTCTTCCAACAACCTCTTGTCTGCCTCAGTGATTGTGAAGGGTGTTCTGGTGGTTAGAATATGGAGTATATCGATCAAAACCCTATAGGATATGCATAGCATTTGGGTGCTTCGATCATTTGGAGACAGACGTAGTTGTGGATGAGTCATGAGTGCCTCTGCCAATAAAGAAGCCTCAGAACCCTCTAATTTCATCATCTCAACTATCTCTTGCACCCCACCAACATTCAAAGCCCGATCAGTCTCAGTAACAGAAGGTGCCAACTTTGATGGAGTGGAAAATGGAAGCAACGAAGATTGTGCATGCTTTGTATTAATATCTGATGACTTTGTCACGTCAGGATGCTCCATTTGGCCTAATAAACCATCATTATTAGTAGAATATTTAAGTGCCCTAAAGGAACATTATGAATTAAAAGGAAATAGGTAAATGACCTCTAGAACATGACGGCTCTTGTTCCATCTGCCTAAGGTTGCTTGGATCAGCAGTTACATGCTCAATTGAATCTGGTCGACCATCATGGGACGCCATATTTTCCTTGGATTCATCTTGAATTACATTTGTCTCATTGATTTCCTTGCCACTAACGTCCTTGTAAAGAGTAGTTGGCTGTGGAATGGGTACAGCATTACCAATGACAGTGGCATGAGACTTATCAGAAACTTGAATATCACCTGAAACATCATGAGTGTGATGGTTAGTGGTTTCAAAACTATTTTGTCTACTTCCTAAACTAATAAAGCAATCATAGAATGGAAATTATTGAAAAATTAATTGAGAAAGATGACACCCATTGACATATGAATAAATAATTGAGGGAATGTCATTAAAAGAGAGTACAAGGAAACTCACCATCTGTAGACTTGCAGAGTGAAGCTTTCGAAGATTTAGGACTTGGTGGCAAGATCGCCTTAGAAGTTTGCTTACTTGAAATAGTTGCTGTGCACGGCACAAACGGGTCTCCTATGAAGACGTGTGTACGGATAATATAGTTATCAAATGATCTAAGGATAAAAGATTTCATTTATATATACAAAACAATTGAGTATCATACCATGAATGGAAGTCTTAGGGTTCTCTTTTAGGAAAGAGCTCTTTGTTCTTATGTCACTTTGATGACCCTGGGTAGTCATCAAGCCCCCTACAAAGCCCAAAATAAATAACAAATATATTACTCATGAGACAAAACACTGATATGTTACCTTGTCTTTTCTCTTGCTCTTCCTCATGGGATTGTACATCATGTCTTGTCATTTCTTCTTTTAACTGTGACTCCATCATGACTATTTCTTTGTTGGCTGGCTCGTCCCATGTGAAGATGAATATGAAAGAGACGTAAATTTAAATATTTAGCATAAGTATACGTATCGGTATTAGAAATAATAATTAGTTGCATTTGAGAATTGATTATATAATGAACTAAATCCCATGTTTTCCGTTCATATTACTTTCATTAGTTATAATTAAATTAATTAGATGATAGTTGTTTTAGTTTTCTTTTGAATTTGGGTCTTGAGAAATACTTGAATACCGCCTTTTCTTTTCTTTTTTTTATCAACCTGCATCAAACTAAATGGTTAGTGCTTACTTTTTAGGCTGCATCTGATATATCATTCGATGTACCTTTGTATGGTTCTGTGAGCCCAATTTGGATTGTTGTGGATCAATCATGATTCTTTCATTTCTCACCACTTTGCCCACCAACTCATCCTATGTGAAAGATAAATATAACAAAGGTAAAAGTTCGAACATCTAGAATGAATAAAGAATAATAATCTACGGTAAATAATAATAATAATATCACTTTTAAAGATGCATTTTGTGAATATCAAATAACAATTCTGTTTAGAATACTTGGGTATTCCCTTCGTAGTCATTCTCCAAAGTAGTATCTTTCTTTACTTTCATTGTTAGAAAGAACTGTTGCCCTATACCTCAATAAATATAATCAAGGGCAAATCATAGAGAAATCTCACCAAGCAACTTAATTACTTAATCCTATTTATGCGTGATCCTTTGTAATTAAAAGGAAACATTATTCAGCTTTATCTCTTTGTTTAGAGTTTTATATAAAAAAGAATAAGTATGACTTTGCAGCAATTTTCTTGCTCAACAACTTAATAAATAAATAAACAGATAGATAAAAAGACAAGATAAAACATACTGATTGTCCTATTACATTTGAGTCAGATGATAAATTTGTCATCTTTGGCTCGTGAAAAATAATACCCTCTTCCGCAATCTCTTCTGCACATTCCTTAGTACCCTGACCAACACCAAATGATAAAAAGGTTTGGTTATGAATGAAAATGTTTATGTGTCTCTATACGTATTTGCAGTTTTATTCGGTTTTCAAATATGACATCGAATTCAAATTTTTATGCCAAAATTTAGAGTAAAAAATCATGGTTTGCTCCAAGATAACTTTGAAACAGAGAAAGTGAAAGAAAATGAATGTACTGTACTAGTGAATGGCGGCATATGATTAAAGCTTGCAGATATAATCATGCTGGTGACAAGTGAAAATAATAAAATGCCATTAACAAAAATAATACTACGTCTTGTACTAATTATAAGAACCAGTTGACTAATTTGAGGAGATTAATGAAGTAAGTTGAGTTAGTTATTTGTCATAAATAGGTGTTGTCTTGCCTAAAATATCCTTGCTAATCAAGTGTATTGACTAGAACTCTTATTATTAGAAGGACTATTTTGGAAAAAAAAAGTATAAATATAAGAGACAAAGTGGATTGGGGTCTTATATTTAGAACCAAAATAAAAGTGAAACAGGGTCTTATATTAAGGATTGGAGGTAGTATATGCATAGCAGTGAAATGAGATATACTCTTGTGAAGTTTGAGGAACCAATTGTGGATTGTTGTGGTTCCGAAACTTGTCTTCCATTTGAATGGAAAGAAAGATTCTGCTCTGTCCCTTCCCAAACTTTAGAATCTTGATTTTTAGAGCCATCAAAAAGCTGAGTAGCTGTGGTTTCTGCAAGCATATAATAATTTTCAATTTGAATTGATGACTGACTTCTCTAAATGCATACCATAAAAAAGAAGAATTGGAACAACCATGTACCGTGGAAGATAGTTCTAGTTTTTTATATTAAAACTCACATGATGTGCTTTACACATGTGAGTGTAAATATATTTAGATAATATTCTTCTTCCTTTTGCATGTTACGTTACCTGGATCAACTCTCAGATTACCACTTCCACTTGAGACAATGGCATGTCCAAGGGATTTGTCAGAAAGTTGAACATCATCTAAAACATTAGGAGTTTGTTGGTTAGTAGTTTGAATGTCATTTCGGTCATCACTTCCTAAATTAACAGAGCAATGTTAGAACGAAAACAATCCAAATATATTAGAAAAGCAAATAAAGATGTATAGTGTGTAGAATCATTAAAGTGTAAACTAGAGTCTTCTGCAAGGTCAGTGACACTCCTTGTCGCAAGATTTGCTTATGCTATATATGAATAAAATTTGAATGAAATGTCACTCTAAGAAGACAACAAAGAAACTCAGTAACAGAAGGCTTGGAGAGAATAGATGAAGGAGTTTGATTGATGCTTGTTGAAGCTTTTGGTGGCACAGGACTCAATGGCAAAATTGCCTCAGAATTTTTCTCGCTTGAAATAATTGCTATGGGTGGCACATATGAGCCGTTTATGAAAAAATAATTATTATATCAAAACAAGAATAAAATATGCAATTTAAAGAAAGCAACAAATACCACCAATAGAGGTTTTAGGTTTCTCCTCTGGTAACGAACTGCTAGTCTCCATGCCACTTCGAGGACGTTGAGATGTTATCAAGCTCTCTGGAAAATCCAAAATAAATAACCAGTATTTTCTACAAAACTAACATGTCAATATTTTACCTTTTCCTTCTTCTTCTTTCTCTTCAAAACTTTTGGCACTTGCATGAGTGTTGTCTCTTGTAGGAAGAACGGGGAGATTGGGACTTGTACGAAGTGGCACCTTCTATTAGAAACCAATGGCCATATAAAACAAAGATGATAAATTAGTATATTTGTTTTCTTTGTGCTTTGACCAATTCCCCAATATATAAAAAAAGAAGCTTTAAGGAGATTGGCTAACAAATAAGTCTTAAAAAGTTTCGAATTCAATGATAAAATTTAACTTTGGCGTTAGATCCTCTTCAGTAGTTCTGTTTGTTGCATATATATAGAGAGCACAAGATAATTAAGTTTCTAATTACGTTGATTTCATTAACAACGTAACACTTGGATTCCCTCCCTCTTCATTATTCAATATAAATTAAAAATAATCATTCAGATGATGACAATGTTTTTTTGGGCATCTTTTACATAACATGCTCATCAACAACGTCAATATTTTTTTTTTTTCACAGACAGCCTACAGGATAAAATTTTGCTTAGTTCATGTCAAATTCATTGAAAAATTGGAATATATATCACACACACACACATTATATTTATATATTTATGTGTTTGAGAGTTTACTGTTGGCATTGTAGATATAGCTTTCAAGATATATGTTTTTCTTTTGGCAACTAGATTTTTTTTTAAAAAAAAAAAGTTCATGTGACACTAGAGACATAAATAAAAAATAAAAAACTATAAATAAAAGAAAATCAATCTCAGTTTTGGTCATGCTTTTCTCGAATTAGTTCTAATATTTTGACAAAAAATTTTAGGAAAATTATTTCAGGTGTTTAGGGAAGCTAATTAAGGAGGGAAGTTTTTATAAAGTGTCTCAAAATAATTTAGGTGTCCTAAGCCCAAAAAGAAAATTGGACCAATGCTTAGCCCAATATAATTTTAGTGTCTCAGAATAATTTTTGTGCACCAGATTTGTTGGGCGGGATTCCTTAAATGACAAAATGAGAAGCTTCCATAGTATATATTGCCTCTGCTCAAACCACTCGGAGGCACCTTCACATTCATTTTCCCTCTTGCAAGTTGCAACAGTAAAAAGAGAGAGTGGTGAGAGACCAAGAGAACCGAGGGAAGGCCAAGAAGTTATCGAAGAAGAAGCAAAGCTCTTCCCTCCCATGCAACCGACCATTTAGGTAAGGACCTTAAACCACCTTCCATCAATATTTTCTCCGATGGTTGGGTGTTCTGCAAGTAGATGAGAAGTTTAAAGCTGATTTTTTAGATGATGGATTGTAGCTTGTGGGGGTTGATTTTATTCCATGCATGTTGATTTGTGTGAGAAGATGTGGATTTTTGAATCTGGAGTTTCGATTTCAGGGGACTATTATTATTTGACTTCTCTTACGGGAGCTAAAAACTGGAATTCAGAAGCTGAATTTTTCTCACTGTTATAATGTTTAATTACGTACTAAAATTATATTTAAGTGGGAACTAAAATATAGTAAACACCTAAAGGCTTCAAGGTGACATATGGATGAAATGAAGTGGTTAAACCAAGCTTTATTCTCTTCCCCTGTTCGATCAAAGTCATTGGAATCGAGAAAATTAAGTTCACACGAATCTAAAGTCTAAACCCCAAAATGAATTTCTAAGAGGAGTTTATGAATCTGGAAAATTTTAGAACGTAAAGGGAAGGCTGTCCAAGACTATAAAAGTGGATGAACTACACATGTAAAGAGCCTAGTGGCTCCTATACAGTGATCAGATGGGCAATAGGAATGTCAAAGTATTAGCTTTGTGAACTTCAATTCTTATCCCCTGTTTGGACAAGTTAAAAATTTTGCGACTCAGAGAGGTTTGAATGATACTGTTTTGACAAGTTATAACATGAAACACGTGTTTTAAATTCCCAAACTACACCAAAGGCATGTCTAAAGGTCCTTAGCTTGTGTTTGATGACTCTTTTGAAGTGATTGGCAATAAGAGAGGATTAAATTTTATAAGCTTTTCTCTTAGGCCTTGTTTTTGGATAGCGTAGTTATTTTAAGAAAGGAAGTAAAGTTTTGGTTAAATTTGAATATGATAATGAACTTAGCAGAGACCTTGGTGTAGTAGCAAGTCTCTGGCATAAGTTTGAGACTGTTAAACGCAAAATCAAATTTGCAAGGCTGTCCTGTTCGGCCTGCATCCTTGAGGGAGATAAAGATGAACATTGTAACACCCCGAATTTTATGATTTAGGATGAGTAGAAAAGAGAAAAATTTATTAAAATTATTTATTTGCCAAATAAAGGGGGAAAATTATGGAATAATGATTTTGAGGGTTTAGAGATATTTTGGAAAAATTCATTCCCAAAAAGTGGCTTAAATAATTTTAATGGATAATTTTAGGAGAAAAATAGTCAGGAGTTGACTTTTGATATGAAATTCTTAGGAAAATTATTTTATGGGTCAAAGAAGCTAATGGATAAGAAAGATCCATTTATGATATTTTGGTTTAATTTCTAGATATATCTTATATTTCAGAAAAATAGGAGAAGGGATAGGATTGGAGAAATAATTATTTTGGGAGGGCAAAATGGTCCAGAAATGCTGTAAACACGTGCTGCCTTCTCCTCAAGACATCTGAATCCTTTCTCCATTACACAGCTGGTTACCCACGTGTTGCTCCATCCTTATAACCATCAGAATTCATTTTCTTCCCCATTTTGTTACTGCCCGAGTCTTGAAAAAGAGAGAGAGACGGAGAGCGAGAGAGGGAGAGCACGGGAGAAATAGCGTTCAGCGAAACCGGAAGAGCGATCGGAGGCTGTTTTACTACATGCAGTCTTGGATTCTGAGTAAGGTGGGTCTCCTAAACCTCCTCCCATCTTTGTTTACTTGGATTGGTGACTGGTTGGAGCGTTAATGAGGAACGAAGCTTAAGTTTCAGTGGGAGAAACTTTCGATTAAAACTGGAACTTGATGATGATGATAGCTTAATGCTTGTTGACGATGATGGTTCATGGTTTCTAGCTTGCATGTTGATTTTTGTTGCTCCAAGTAAAGGGTGCTCTGTTTTGGGTTTAATCGAATAGGGATTATGTTTTTGAGCTAGGAGGGTTTTTCTTTTGTTCTTGCCGAACTGAGGAAACGTGGTTGATATATGCGGTTGCATGTGTGCTTACTGGTTGTGTGTTGGAATGGCAGAACCCAACCCCCTGTTTTGATGAGTTTAGCGTTAGAACTCTAGGTGAAAATGGAAAGACGGTATAGGTGATTAAATGTGTTGGTAGTCATAAATATATATATATGTATGTATATATAAACATGGCTGTGCTGGGCGCTTACTGGTTGATGCTCCTAAATGACTAATGAGTAATATAGAATGTTTTGCAGCTCAAGTTGAAGTTGCTGTTTCGGGGGTTCAGTCTTGGGTTCTAGAGGAAGAATGAGTGGAAGTTCGGATATTTAAAAGGAAGTGTATGAGGAATAAAGGTGAATAGAAGCATGTGTATATGTGTGTGATAAAGTGACGAGAGGCTCATGGGAAAAGTAGAGGAGACCGAACTGACACGCACACACACACATATATATAGTTTCGGTACATGTGTATATATATAGAGATATATGGAGAGTATTTTCGGGCAAGTGGGTTTCAAGAGGAACTGTAATTTTAAACTGGGGACTTTCAAATGGTGGATAGAATGATGTTTATGAAGCTGGAATTTCATATCAGTAAGAAAGGAATGTTGTTATTATAAATTATAAGCACGTTGAAAACATTCAAGGGTGCTAATTCATTGTTGGAAGAATTTGAACTTGCTCGATTTGAATTCAAATGATTAAAATTAGAAGTCAAAGATAGAGGACATATAGTTAAGTTTTCAAATGTAGAGAGATATTAGTGGGTTGAATTATGAATGTTCAAGTATGTTCGTAAATTTGGAAAATATTTCCAGATTAAGTGCAAGGTTATGTGAATCATTGGAGATATAAACATACATGTGTATAGGGATGTGCTGTAATGAAAACTCAATATATAGTTACTGTTTAGTATCTCCAGATGTTGAACAAGTATTGTAGGTTATTAAATTGAGTTTAGAAACTTCAAATGAAGTGGTGCTGGTATGTTTTAGGGACGTGGCATAGTTTGATTGAGATGCTAGTTACTAAGTAAGGTAATACTATGGGTTGAGATAAGGAAGGAAGCGTTCCAAAGATAATAGTTCAAATAAGAAAAATTGTCCAGGATGACCAACTATTAAGTAAGGGTAGAGATTGAAAGAGATTGGGATTTAAAGAGAGTTATTTAATTTATAAATTATGTTGGATCAAGTATTAACCAACCCTTACTAATATGATAGGTTTATATATCTGCTAAAGCCTACCGAAGAAGCTAAGAGAAAGGAAACAAGTAAGGTTTGATTTTGAAGCAGAAGGTTCAGGTAGTAGTTCTTTCCTCCCTTACACTTGTGTATGATTGCTGCATGTCTGTTTGTGCCATATTACTTTTCTAAAGCATGAGAACATGTAATCCTTAATTCCTTGCATGGATTTTTAACCGTGACCACGTGCAGCTGATAAACATGGGGCAGTGATTGCCAATTATATGCGCAGCAGTGATTGCCAATTATATGCGCGGCAGTGATTGCCAATTATTTGCGCGGCAGTGATTGCCAATTATATGCGCGGCAGTGATTGCCAATTATTTGCGCGGCAGTGATTGCCAATTATATGCGCGGCAGTGATTGCCAATTATATGCGCAGCAGTGATTGCCAATTATTAGCGCATTATTTATTCAGCTTGTCTAATAGACATGGGGCAGTGATTGCCAGGTATGTGCGCATTATTTATTCAGCTTTTATATCTGTCATTGTGCATAAATGCTTAATTGCATTAGCTTGCAAGGTTATGTTCCACTTTGGCTTGTTTTGCATTCTTTATGTAATCTGCACATTTGTTTGATGGAAATTACTACTACGGGGATTCTTCGGAATCTCACCCCCCAATTTATGATGAACAGTGAAAGCTAGTAGCCTGAAGGACAAGGAGGTTGTTTAAGAAGAAGGTGGGCTGGTTGAAGAGCAGAGATACCTGTTTTAATTCTGTAAATTGTATAGCAAAATATATGGGCAAGTA